AAAAAAAAAAAAAGAGGAAAGTTTATATCCTTATAATAAATACGTTTTTTATTTTAAAATAATAATAATTTTTTATTTTTTTAATTAAGAATTTAAAAATAATATATATATACATTTATATTTTTAAAAAAATTTAAAAATAAAATGAGATTTTTTTGATTAAATAATTAATCAAAATAAATAGATAATGGTAAGATTAAAATTAAAAAAATATATATTTATTTAAAAAAATGAAAAAACAAGGACTAATTTGAGAAAAGCTCACTATGTCAACGCACCTACTACTAAAAGGTTTGATTCTTTCTTTAGATAAAATTCGTAGGAATTTTCTATGGGGGGGAAGGGAGGGTAACAGAAGAATTAATTGGGTTTCATGGGACAATGTGTGTAAAAGCAAAATGCAAGGTGGATTAGGGGTCAAAGACCTTAGAAAGTTCAATCTAGCATTGTTGGGAAAGTGGTGGAGTAAACTGGCTAGTGGGGAAGAAGGCTTTTTGTATAGATTTATTAATCATAAATATGGGTGTGTAGAGGGTAGGTGAATTGATTGGATGCAAGAGTCGGGTCATAAGGGATCTTTATGGTGGAGAAACATACGTAGGTTAGACCAAATTGATATTAAAAATGAGGGATGGATATTGGGGGGATTCAAATTGAAAGTAGGTGAGGGGAATTCTATCAACTTTTGGAAGGATGCATGGATAGGGGATCAACCCCTTGCTAACTGATTTCTTAGATTGTTTCTTGTTTCAACAGACAAAGAAAAGAGGATCTCCCAAAGGGGTATATGGAGAGGAAAAAACTGGCAATGGACAATACATTGGAGACGATCTTTGTATGAGTGGGAAGAAGACAATTTATCAGAGTTGCAGAGATTAATCATGAACACACACCCAACCAAAGAGCAAAAAGATTGCTGGAATTGGAGGCACACTAAAGAAAGAGAGTATTCTGTCAAAATAGCATATGCCCTACTGTAACAGCCAGGACAATAGAACTTGGATGCATGAAAGGACTTGGAGCAAACTTATCCCCACAAAAATCAGTGCATTTGGGTGGCAAGTATTGCAAGACAGAATCCCTATGAAGCTTAATCTTTATAAGAGGGGAATTATAACCGATCCTAATCAATTGATGTGTGGATTTTTTGGGGATAACATCGAAGATGCCAATCATCTTTTCCTCCCCTGTAGAGTTGCTTTCTTGGTAAGGAGCAAATGTGCACAATGGTGGAGGTTCATTTCAGTTCAGCCGAAGACTTGCCATGAGGATTTTGAACAACATAAGCCCCCTGCTAAAGATCCTGCAGTGAAAGCTGGTTGGGACGTGATATGGTTCTCCACTATATGGTCTTTGTGGATGGCAAGGAATGCTAAAAGTTTCAGAAACCATGAGTATGATGTAGATAGAATTTTTGAGCTTGTACAACTAAGAGCTTTCATTTGGATTAAGGGCAGGACTACGTGATACTCTTTCAGCTTGCATGATTGGATGCTAGAACCAATCTTAAGCCTTAAGGATAAAAGAGATTGGATACATAATCCCTCAAGTGGAAAGTTTTTGGGTGGACAAAACAACCTGGGTTTGACAGTGATATATGATGAAATTGCAAAAGAGGACAAAAATTCAACACGGGCATAGTGTCGACACATAATGTTGGTATCGACACCATAAGGTAAACATTCAAAACTCCAACACGGATGGGGTGCCGAGACTTTATTCAGGGGTCGACACCATACAAAAGGCTATCCTACTCATGTAATATCAAGCATTTCAAGTTATGATGTTTATGGGTTTGGGGTACCCCTTGTACTCCGTTTATTAATAAATAAATACTCCGTTTATTAATAAATAAATAGTATTTTTTGCTGTTCAAAAAAAAATTTTGAGAAAAGCTCAAATTTAAAAAATGATACTAGTTTGAGATAGAGAGAATATTTTAGTTAATATAACCTTCTTGCTTCAAATGAAGATATTAATAATTTAAAAAAAATGTTTTAATTTAAAAAATCATCTCAAAACTATTAAAAGAAGGTGGGGAAAATATCCATGGATTTTAAGTTCAGTAGTTCACCCTTGTTTTTCTATTCACTTTCGGGCCCATTATTGTTCCACACATCTCACCTTCTTTCTTGTTCATTACCATAACATCGTACCTGAAAGTTCTTAATTCCAATGAAGTGGGAACAAAATTAAAGCATATGAATTGGCACTAAGTTAGCACAAATCCAGCACTCATGTTGTTGTCAGTGACGCCTTCCTTCCATTTGTCCAAGATTAATTAACTACTACAACAACACCTATGCCTAATTAAAAACATGCATCTTCTTCGTCTTTTGTTCTTGAAACCGATTCAACAGCCACCTTTGAAAAGAACAAAGAAGCAGATAGGACAGTAATCATGAGTTAAGACACAAAAAGACATATGGTATGTTCTATATATGATTTGTATCAAACAATAATTAGTGGATTACATCAAATAATTCCCTTTTGATCTGTTTTAATTTTTATTATACTATAATTAGTGGATATATATAATAACAAGAAGTTTTCCTTTCTAGAAAATTTCCCCAAATTATATGAAATATTGAAGCATGCAATGACAGCTGCCCATATGAAGGAATCAAAATGGAAAGGAAACACATGATAGCTCTCCTCTTAATTAGAGGAGATTCACATTCACATGTCCAAGATGAGGAAATAATGTACATGGGGTGCAATTTTAGTATGCATATACCTCGTGAAGTTGAGATATTATATATACCCAAGAAATGTTCATGACATCATATGATTTCAGAGCTTTCACATTATTCTTGAGAAAGAACAAATTTCCAGCTTTACTTCGATGGGTTAATAAATTAACATGGTCCAATTCCAATAGGAGAACATAGAGTAGGATTTATAATTCTCTTTTCACACGAATCCTACGTTTTCAAAATGAATAACTTGTTTTTAACTAAAATACCAAAAAGATAATTCAGTTTGGCACGCAAAAACTGATTTTGAATATTATTTATGGTAACATGTATATAAACAAAAAGAAAATGATTGATTTATATTTTAATTTAATATATTTTTTGACACTTATTTAGTTAAACTATTAAAATATAATATAACATAACTAATTTTTAAATATTATGTGTATATATATAATTGTATTTTTAAATTTATTTGCTTTTGTCTAATTTTAAATAAAAAAAAAATAATTTTTAATAAGTATATTATATATTGTATTAAATAAAAGAATATATCAATTAATGTTCAAATAAAGACTACAGTCAATGGTAAGCTTAAATGTAATAAAAAAAATAACCTATATTCCAATAAATATATAGTAACCGCGTTAAGAAGACTCGTGCCTGGATGCAAGAAAGCTACGTGAGAACAAATCAAAACCAAATTATTCACCGGAGAGAAAAAGAGAGACATGAAAATATATTATATGCTTAATAAAGATATATATGTATCCATCACAGAAAGGACTAAAAGGAAAAATCCTAAAGAAAAACGCCAAAAAAAACAGCCTATCCCAATTACAAATACACAGAAATTACACCCCAAATTAAATCACGAAGCCTATGTCCTCTGTAATTCTCTCTTTATATTGACCCTAGTCTAGTCCCAACTTCCCCTTTCTTTGTCTCTTAGTGTGTATGCTTATTAGTGAAGGAATTCAATCCTTGTATTAGAGATAATTAATTAGAAATTTTTTTGGAGAAAATACAAGGAGAAGATGGATTCTAAGAAAGAAATGAGGTTTTCGGATGCTAATTCCAGCAAAGATGGAGACTTGGTGGTTGCAGCAGCAAAACGTTCATATGAGTGCACTTTTTGCAAGAGGGGGTTCACCAACGCTCAGGCATTAGGAGGGCACATGAACATACACAGGAAAGATCGAGCAAAGGCGAAGCAAAGCACCACAGCTTCTTCTGTTAAAGACTACATGATCAACGTGAACCATAGGTATTTTTCTGAGCTGTCTAGGTGTAATCCTGTTGTGGAGGGGAATAAAAATTATGGCATGTTTTTTCTGTCACTGGGATCGAGCCCTACACACCAATATGGGGACTATGACAGTGATTATGTTGTCCGTAGGTCATTGCAGCCTTCGAGCTTGAATCATGATGAGCTATTGGGGGCAAATTTGAGCTTGAGGATCGACTGGGGTGAAACTGAGCAAGTAAGGAGGAGGATTATGAAGGAAGATGAAGTAGATTTGGAGCTTCGACTTGGTTATGATCCATAATAGGCTTAAGGTTGAGGAAATTAAGTAATTTGTTTTCTATAGAGAGGAATTGTTTTAGAATAGTAACAAATATAAGGTAATAGGAATGTAAAGAAAAGAAAATATACATTATTTTGTGAATTTCGAGTTTTGAGTAGGGAATTTGGATATTGCATTGTGAAGATCATGAAGCAAATATGTGTAATGTGATTTCTGAGGTTAGTAATTTTGTTTTTTTGTTGTCTTTAAAGCAGAGAAAGAGGCAGGAAGGCTACAATACTTGACATATATGCCATTCTAATTTCTTCTGATGTTATTAATTTCTTGTTGTAGCATTTATTTACATTTATGTGCAGCACTTGTGTTTTGTGCATATGCATTAGAATCTTCAACTACCCCAATTGTGTTTTCATATATATTAGGATGTAGGATGCTAGGATTGCTAGCTAGCTCCCATATGTTCAAATGCATATTCACCATATTAAAAATCCAGAATTTGATCTCCTAATTGAGTGATGTGTAAGGTGATATGATATTATATGCATTGGCATGTTTTCCCTTTTGTTTAATTTTGGTGAAGCTATATACATACGGAGCCATAGGCATGTGAAAGCTATGTGTAAAAAGGAATTCTTGAAAGAAATTATAAGAATTTTACATCCAACATTAAATTAAAATTAAACTCCGCAATCAA